ATTCGTGGGGGTTTATTGTTCCATATGAATTTTGGGAGTGTTTTGACTATTTCTTTGAAAAATGTCATAGGTATCCTGATAGGGACAGCATTAAATTTGTATAGTGCTTTGGGCAGTATTGCCATTTTGATAATGTCAATCCTCCCTATACATGAGCAGAGGATGTGTCTCCACTTCCTAGTGCCCTCTTTTATTTCTTGAAGTAGTGTTTTGTAATTTTCCTTGTGTAGGTCCTTCACCACTTTGGTTAAGATGATTCAGAGGTACTTGATTTTTTGAGGTACTGTTGTGAATGAGACTGTTTTTTTTAATGTCTCTTTCTTTCCTTTCATTATTTGTATGTAAGAAAGTCATAGACTTTTGGGTGCTGATTTTGTAGCTTGCCACTTTACTAAATTGACCTATTGTTTCTAGGAGCTTTCCTGTAGAGTCTCTTTCTTTCCTTTCATTATTTGTATGTAAGAAAGTCATAGACTTTTGGGTGCTGATTTTGTAGCTTGCCACTTTACTAAATTGACCTATTGTTTCTAGGAGCTTTCCTGTAGAGTCTTTAGGGTTTTCTAAGTATAGTATCATATCATCTGCAATTAGTGATAGCTTGACCTCTTCCTTTACTATCTGGATACCCTTGATACCTTTCTCTTGCCTAACTGCAATGGCCAGGACTTCCAGTACTCTATTGACTAGGAGTGGCAAAAGTGGGCAACCTTGTCTTGTGCCTGATCTTAGATAGAAGGCTTTTAGTTTTTACCCATTGAAAATGATACTTGCCATGGGTTTGTGGTAGATGGTATTAAGATAACTTATTTAGGTGGCAGTGAATAATATGAATATAATGAAAGTTGTATCACTCATATTTTTATAAGATTCCTTCTATCACAAGAAAAAATACAAAACCACAAATGTGCCTAGCAATCAATTTCACAAGAAATGTGCAAAAACCATAGGAAGAAAACAGTATGTTTCTGAGGTTAATAGAAAATTTGAACAAATAAGCTGTGTTCTTGAAAATACAATGAAATATTTCATTTAATTTTTGAGATTCTGTGATTTACAATGCTATCAATAATGGTTTCTCACGCCCTGTAGCACTGTAGCACTGTCCTCCGGTTGTTCATTGATTTGCTCGAGTGGGCCCAGTAACATCTCCATTGTGAGACTTGTTGTTACTGTGTTTTGCATATTGAATACTCACGGGTAGCTTGCCAGGCTTCGTCATGTGGGCGGGATATTCTCAGTAGCTTGTGGGGCTCTCCGAGAGGGGAAGAGGAATCAAACTTGGGTTGGCCATATGCAAGGCGAACTCCCTACCGCTGTGCTATCACTCCAGTTAAACTGATTGTTAAACTGGTTTCTGATGCACAGAATTAAAATTCAACATTTTAAAGATGTCTTTTCTCCTTAAGCTACAAATGTGGCATGAATGTAATGAAAATAGCAGCAGGATTTTTTTAGTAAAGAGATCAGAAGATTTGAAAGTTTATAAGAAATCTTAACAATATATATGCATATATATATATATATGTAAGAACCAGAGAGAGAGAGAGGAAAGGGGGGGAGAGCTCAATGGCTGAGCTCAAACTTTGCATGCAGGGACCCAGGTTCAATTCCTGTCACCACGTGGTTCTCTGAGCACTACCAGGAAATACCTCCAAGCACAGAACAGAAGTAGCTCCTGAGAATCTCCAGCTATGACTTCAAAACCAAAACCAAAAAGACTTAGGAAAGGAAAATATGAAAAAGAAAAACAAAGGGGACCAGCCCTTGCACTTTTTAAAAACATATTATCAAATTTAATAATTACAGTATTGTAATGAAGAGGCACTTGGAAGTAACACAAGGACCTTTGTGGATGTTGATGGTGGTGGGGGAAAGTAACTTTGTATATCAATACCATAAGTGTTAGCATTATTGTATCCATGATATCTATTTTTTTTTTGCTTTTTGGGTCACACCAGGCGATGCTCAGGGGTTACTCCTGGCTCTGTACTCAGGAATTACTCCTGGCAGTGCTTGGAGGACCATATGGGATGCTGGGAATCGAACCTGCGTCGGCCGCATGCAAGGCCCTACCCGCTGTACTATTGTTCCAGCCCCCAGCCATGATATCTTGACTATAGCAAAATAAGTTTTAAAATATCATGTGGTGCTAGTTTGTGCATAAAAATACCAGTTGGAGATGTTAAATATTCAGGAAAAGTGGAAATTGTTAGATATCCAGGAAAAGATCTAGATGAGTACAGGACAGCCACCTGTGTCAAGTCAGTAATTATGTTTAAAATCTTTATATTTACTACATGTGAACTTGCCTCTGTAAAAATAAAAGGAATCTTGGGGCTGGAATGGTAGCACAGCGAGTAGCGCATTTGCCTTTCACGCGACCGACCTGGGTTCGATTCCCAGAATCCCATATGGTCCCTCGAGCACCACCAGTACTAATTTCTGGGTGCAGAGCCAGGAGTAACCCCTGAGCATCTCTGGGTGTGACCTTCCCAGAAAAAAGAAAAAGAATTAAGAAAATAAATAAAAAATAAAAGGAATCCTTTATCTCAAATAAACCAGGCTGTGAGATATATTAAAGTTTTTGTTTAAAGCAAACTAGAGTTGTATGTAGTGTATTCTTTTGCATCAAAAGAAAGACATTTCAATGATTTGTATATTTATGTGTATATATGTTAAAGAAGAAAAGTTACACATACATCTTTAATTATATAAATATATTTTTTTCTTGTGTAATCATTTGGTCAAACAAACAGATATATGGGATGTAGTCAGAAAGTAACTTTATTTTTGTTTGTCTCTCTGAGTTTATTCACTAGCAATAATTTTTTTCATGGAATCCTTATCTGATTCAGGAGCAGCATTTCTCGTTATGAGGGACAGAGATGAATTCACAGGGTGAAAATTCTCTTTATCTCTCTCTCACTCTCTCTTTCTCCACACAAGCACATGCACACACATGTATAGACACGCACACATACACACAGACATGCACACATGCAAGCACATGCACACACATGCACACACCCCTCTTCAGAATTGTTTCCTGTATGACTGTGCATAGTCAACAGCCATACAGAGTGAACTTTACTGTATCCAAATAAATAAAATCAAACTGTCAGGAGATCTTAGAAAGAACATAAACTATGACAAATGGATGTGTAGACATTACAAATGTCTAAAATCACCTCCCTGAAGAGTCTGAGAAAGGAGCCGACCTACATAACTCTGGAAAACATCTGTGTGGCTGAATGAGCTAAAGACGAGGATCACCAAAAAACTCAGAATCTCCATCAGGTGAAAGGAGACAGGATTTAATGCGACGTGGTATCCTGGCTGGCACCAGAGACAGAAGAAGGACAATAATGGGAAATGACAAAACCCAATAAAGTCTATAGTGTAGCCGGAACTGTAATGCTGTTGTTAATCTCTGTATTTTCACAAATGCGCTACACTTTTGATGTAAGATGCTAACAAGGAAAGTGAGTGAAGTGACACAAGGCTTCTCTGACACTTTTGTAATTTTTCTGTAACTCCGTAATTATTCAAGTTTGAAGTTAATGTTTTGAACATTCCCATCTCCAATTCCCAATCCTTTTATAGTCCCCGTGTGGATCAGGAGTTTAAGAATATTTAAACTTTTTCTCATACTGTTTTCGCCAACTCTTTTTTGAGCAAACACTGTCTGGGAATGTCTAATATATCATGTTGGAATATCACTTTTTATTATCATTGAACTCCAGCTGCAATTTTCCACTTAAATTTCTGATTACATGTACATATAATTTTTAAGAGAAGCTTGCTTTTCAAGTGCATGGTCTCCACATATCTCTGTGTCTTTTGTTTTTTATCCTCTCTCTCAAAGCCCCGTTCTCTCTTGAACACATATTTCTTTTTCTTCTCTCCACCCGCACACTCGCTTTCTAAGAAAGTTTGAGCAAGTAATTTTGAGCAATAAAAATTGTCTTGTTTCACAGGGGAGAGAGGGGGGACAGAGAGAGTGAGCAAGAGAGAGAGAGAGAGAGAGAGAGAGAGAGAGAGAGAGAGAGCCTGTGGAATAATAGGCAAGAAACCAGAAGAATTATTGCCTAGGAGAAAATGTTTTTCAGAGATTCTAATAAGAGAAAAGGCAGTTTCTCCGTGTGTATCTATCAGACCTTTAAGATTATAGCCATGTAAATGTATCATACCTTCAAAATGTTTTGTTTGAAAATATTTATTCAGTTATATGGTCCTTCTCTTGAGGTCTGTGACTTGGAACTGTTTCCAGGATGTCATAACTTCTGGGAGAAGACCCTTCCCCATTCACTCTCTGCTGAGCATCACTGGACATTTCAGAAGTCAACTTTTCTTTATGATGACATAATCCTGTTAGCATTTGAGTGCTCCCTTATTTTATGGTCCCACCTTTAACAAAACACTTGGTGACTACCTATAATGGTGTTTATAGTCTCATTGGGCATCAGTAAGATGAATGCTCTGGGCATTTGTACCATTCCTCAGTTAAAAGTCAAAAAGTCACCAAAAAGTCAGCTTCCCCAGTTATCAGCCACAGTTATCAGCCACTGTTTCATTCATACTTGTCACACTATATTAAGTACTAACTCTGCTTATAGAAACACCCTTAAGGTGTACAGAGAGTGGGAAAATGCTGGTAGTAATAGTTTCTAAATGATCCCATCTATTACTGTATCTGCTCTTTACAGAAGTTTGATTTTGTGTTGGAGTTGGTAGTTTGTGTGTAAGGAAATCCAGGACATGAGAATCAGCAATGAATTGTCCTTTCCAGGTTTAGATTTCTGGTTTCTGCAAATTCTCAGAGTTGTTTTCTTGTTCAGCATCAACCAATGGCAGTGGTCACCAGCCTTTCTAGGGCCTAGTTCACAAGTGAGAGGCTAGATCCCCTTCTGTTGCCACAGGTTTTAGGTAAAGTTGATTGTAGAGTCATTTTTTCCCATAAAGTTAATATCTTAACCACTTATTCTCTATTTTATGTCTAGCAAGTCTTTCCCCTTGTTTAACCGCTGCATCCCTCAAACACCTGAGTGCTATTCTTCGTTTGCATCTGTCCTGATAAATGACCTTGATACTCTCCACCGAATTCTAAGTGGAATCATGTCAGGAAGAGACACAATCCTTGGTCTCTGTCTCCTTGCATTAGGTAATTTTCTTTCCGTGAGTATGCCAAAATTTCTAGCACTTGTGTATGTCATACAATGAAATTAAGACTCGACTTAGAGGTCAAGTTTCAGGCTATGTATGTATTTTATAGATATTTGCCAAATTTTAGTTCAGTTGTGGGAGGGTCACTAAGATTGGGGGGATGGGCCAGGGGTGAGAGGGGCATTTGGTAGGGGGAGACTAGCTGGATCTATGACATGAGGCTCCTCTGGGTGGGTTTGCTGTAATATAGGGACCACATTCCAGGGCCTGAACTGAGTGCCCACGGGATGGATGTGTGAAGCTGATGGCCAGTCTGTGAATTGGTCGTAACAAGTCCAACTGTCAGTTCACAAAGGCATGTCACGAAGGATGGCCACTTCCTGTGAGTAGGCCAGCTCAGAAGGCCACTTTGTCAGCCAGAAAGGGTTCTGTGCTGTCTGGGAAGATCATTGGTCGGCAATGGCCTGAGAAACTCATGGCCTCCTGGGAACAGACTGCTGTGGGCTATTTGCAGATCAAGAATCTGAGTAGGACATGCATCTTCTGGCAGTTCTGCATGTAGCTTTCCATTAGTCATGTCTGAACCTTTAACTCTCCCATTGCTGTGTTTCAGCTTGGTGAGCCTCTTGAAGAGACTTTCTCTTCAAGCCAACTCAGATGCTTCTATAGACAGTCACAAGGGCCTGTTACCTTCTGTCTTTCCCTGTGGCTGCCTTCTAACCTCTTGATTGGAAGAAACTCTTTGGTAACTGTTAACACAGTTTTATCCATTTTCATGCTGAGTTTTCCAGAGTTCTGTCACCAAAGGGTTACTCATTCCTGAATGCCTGGGGGATGCTTTGTTAGTGCTGCTGTCTTAGGGCTCATGTCTGCCCATCACGGTGCTCCTATAGCTCACCAGGACCTCCCCAGACTCCAATGCTGTTGCACAAGAGGGCACTGAGGTTGAGCAGTGTCCCAGCTCAGGCCACACGAGATGCAGAGGGGCAGAATGAGACTCACCACTGACCTGGCTGATTCACAAGCCATGCCCAGGTTTTTTGGCCAGGAAGAAAAGTTGAATGCCTTAAAATTCACCAAAATACTTATACCAGCATGAAACACCAAATATTAGGAAATTATGATATGTGGGCTCTTCGTAAAGTCTATTATTATCTAGTAAGAATTTTCAGTTTTTTATTGTTAAAAGCATTTGTCTTTCATATTTAAGAAGACCATCTACCAACATTTAATATTTTAGAATGAAAAAATATCCAGAATGGAGTCAAGAGAATTAGCTCTGATAAGCAGTAACAGAAAACCATGATGCCTGAAATAAAGTTTTGAAAGGAGAGATAATGAAAATGTACAATGATTTATTTGGACTGGAAGAGAAAGTGAATAATTTGGGGGGGGGGGGTGTTTGTTTGGTTGGTTGGTTAGGTTTTTTTTTTTTTGCTTTTGGGGTCACACCTGGTGATGCACAGGGACTACTCCTGGCTCATACACTCAGGAATTACTCCTGGCGGTGCTCAGGGGACTATATGGGATGCTGGGAATAGAACCTGGGTCAGCCACGTACAAAGCAAATGCCCTACCCGCTGTGCTATCACTCCAGTCCCGAATAATTTTTATCTTTAGGACTCATATCTGCTTTACAAAATTCGTTTTTGGTTCCAGAGGGATGCTGGTCCTTTGAGAGACTGTATTCCAGGGCAGCAAATTTGTCTGCGCTTCAGAGAGTGCCCTCAGGAAGGGCTTGTTTTTATCTGGTATTTGGCAGATGTCCTGGGGTACTTTGAAATTAAAGAAAATTCTCTGCCCCCACTCTGGATGTGGGCCTAGCCAGACTGAGTTGTCATCACCCCCTCTAGTCTGCTCACCATGAGGGTAACAAGTATTTCTTGATTTTTCAGCCTTGTCATTGGCCATGATGATTACCTTCCGATTCCTCACCACCCTTCTGGTTCACATTTTCATCGCATTGATTGTTTTTGGGTTATTGTGTAAGTAATTTCTACTTGATTGATTGATCTATGAGTAGTTGAAAAGATTTGGGCTAGAGGGAAATATCAAAAAGCTGAGCACAGGCTTTGTATGCAGGAGGGCCAAGTTCCATGTCTGGCACCAACATGGTTCTCTGAGCACTGAGCCAGGAGTCAATAAGACACAACAAAACACAATAAATGAAAAGCATTTCCATTAAATACAGAACTTAAAATTTGGCTTCTTATTGTTGTTTATGAGGGCCACACCTGGTTGTGCTCAGGACTTACTCCTGGCTTTGCACTTAGGAATCACTCCTGGTGGGGTTCAGGAACCATATGGGGTACCAGGGATCAAATCAGGGTTGGCTACCAGAAATCCAAGCACCTTCCTCACTGTACTGTCTCTCTGGGCCATGTTGGGAGCACTGTATAAGATTTCTCCTGAACTTTCATATTTTCCATTGATATCACCCACACTTGTCCCACAATGGTGCCCCCAGTCCTGCTGTTGAGGGAGACTTTCTCCTTCAGTGACTGGTAAAGTCCACCATGGCCTTCTTCTTGTCACTGTGATAGAAGTGTGTCACTCTGGCCTTAGTCTCTAAATGTAGGGTATTTTCCCAGGTTTGTGGGGCCCAGTGAACGCCCAGGTTCCCACGGAGCTGCTGCCTGAAGAGCTCATTTGGAGAAGTGAGGCTGGGCTATGACAAGGCAGACAGCCTGCCTCTGGGTGCCAGTGTCCCTCCTGTGGCTCCCCAAGCCAGCAGCCACCACGGCAGAGCTGGCACGTGCTCAGGGCCCCCTGACTTGCTGGCGGCTTCTACAGAGGTGAAGTCTTTGCCTTGAGCCCCAGGATGTGGACCCACCACCTAGGTAGGGCCCCCACCTCACCCCAGAGTGGTTTGGAGGGTCCTCAGGGCCTTCTGTTTTCCAGTTGTCTGCAGTATCCTCTGGTGGCTCTATTACGACTACACCAATGACCTCAGCATCGAGCTGGACACTGAAAGGGAAAATATGAAGTGTTTGCTGGGCTTTGCTCTCATATCTACAGCCATCACGGTAAGCAAACACCCGTCCAACCGTCATCTGAGCAGACAGCCAGAACTCTGAAGCCTAAATAGTTGGATTTTAACTGCAAACAACTGGGGATGGATTTGATTACACTTTTTATTTCCCATTTTAATTTATTTAGACACCACATATGTACCTAATTGTTAACGACAGGGTTTTAGGTCTTCAGTATTCTCACCTTCTTCCCCACCACCTCATCATGATCCCTACCCCAACCACTGATCCCAGGGTCCCTCCCAGGCTGACTTTTTGACAGACATGCTTCTATGTTTGATCATTGTCATTTGGTCCCATGCTTACAGTCGGGCTGACTCTAGCAGTTCCAGTATGCCCAGATTCCTCCCCTCTGCTCCCAAGACCATCCCAAAGCCCCCGAGCCTGGCCCCTTTGTTCCTTCTAGAACGCTTCTTCTGGCTTCTCTTCGATCTGTCTTTCCCATGGCATTTTGGTGTCTATAATCTAGAGCCAAATTTTTGCCTTATTTTGTTTTACATCTCACAATGGACCACTCTTTTAGGAGTAAGAATGCATATACACACAGACACATACAGACACACACAGAGACACACACAAACAGAGACACACACAGACATACATAGAGACACACAAAGACACACAGAGACACACATACACACAAAGACACACAGAGACACAATACAGACACACACAGAAACGCAGAGGTACACACAGTTATACATAGAATATACAGACACACATAAATATGCACACAGAGACACACACACATACACACAGACACAGTGAGACACACAAACGAGTGCTTACTCTCTCCTTTTTTCTTTCTTTTTCTTTTCTTTCTTTCTTTCTTTTTTTTTTTTTTTTTTTTTTTTTTTTGGTCTTTGAGAATTCTGCATAGGAATACAGTGGAGTCTTGAGAGTCCAAGCCAACCTTTCTTCTTCCCAGGAAGCTTCCCCCCATCCCTGGGGACCTTGTCGCACACACCCGCGGTGGTCAGGTGGGCTCTGTGGGTAGAGAGCAGTGCAGGCTTAGGAGAGTTCCTACTTCCTGTTTGTGCAGCCCGTGGTACAGAGCAGGCCACGGTGTGCCATGAGCACAGAGAGCCCTTTGTCCCCCAGCTGCTGGCCACAGGCTTGTTTGGGTTTCACAGAACCTGCGGCTCCAGGGTGAACCCTGGTGACCAAAAGGCAAACATCCCAGGTGAAGCCATGGCTCTTGTGAGGTGGGTTCTTAGCAGCTGCAGTGGCCCCCTGGTGCTCTTCTGAGTGCTGGAGCCAGGGGCTCCAGAGAGCACCCTGAATTGATTTATGGTGGTGTAAGGCTTTCTGACCCTGTGTGGGGCTTCCAGACCACTTTATGCAGGAGCCACAGCCAGGGGCTTCCCCCAACCCTTAGATCTCAAGCAGAAGCCACAGTTTTCGCCCCCTCCATTCCTTCTGTCAGGGAAATCCTTCAGCCCTGAAGGTTGGCCTTCATTATTTTCTCCCTGAGGGTTTCAGGTTTGGGTTCTTCCCAGAAACTGCATGTCAGGGAGCACATGGAGCATAAAGGAGAACAAGGTGAGGGCAGTGCCATGCCAGGAGATGGGCTAGCTAGAAGCTGCAGCCTGGACACAGGGCAGGATTTTGGCCTTGGCAGTCTCGGGCCTGCAGGAGAAACCCACACCTCCGTGGCGGGGAAAGTCTCAGAAGGCTGAGTGCGTTTTGCATTCAGGAGGCCTGGACTCAACCCCTGGTACCACATGATCCCACAAGCACTGCTCAGAGTGAAACTGGAGCACCAAGCCAGGAGAAGATGTTGAGCTGAGGTTTGGCCACAACCAAAAATCATCATCATCATTATCCACATCCCCCGACACCTATGAGACCTGAGAGAAATGGGTTGACCTCTTAGGGTGTGGTTTTCTTATCTCTCTGCAAGGTTGCCCCTGGGGATATCTACCATGGAACCTTCCAGTTCCACCAGAGCTGACCCCAATGCTCCCTGTATGAAGCCTTGACACCAGAAGCAGCAGTGCTATGGATTGGAGGGTGCTGGCTGGGGAAACAGGATTTGCCTGCCCCCACAATGCCCCCCACAGAGCCCAGGCTTGGCACAGGGAATGGGATAGGGACAGGGAGAGAAAGTCAGGTCATCCCTACATGGCACGCTTCCATCCATCACCAGCCTCCCAGGAAAGCTTATCAGCCTCTCTTTTCTCCTGCTCTCTTTTTTCTCTTTTGGTTTTGGGGGCACACCTGGTGGTACTCCTGGTCCCTATGGGGCTGGGATGAGCCAGGGCTCCTGCATGCCAGCCGGTGCACCTTTGTGCTCTCTCTTGGGCTCCTCAATTGCCCCTTCTATGCCCTCCCCACCCCCAAACCCACTTTCCCAAAGAGGGAGAGAAAGGAACCCATGTTGACCGGAGAGATGCATTGGAGAGTGACCTTCCCCAAACCTTTTGTTTGGCTTACAGAAGGCCCATGTCACTCTAGCTACCTGCTTTCCACCCACAATCAAAACCTATGGGGACACGTGAGTCTCAGCACCTGTTCTGAGTGCCAGGAGGACCACTGGCATGGGGCTACAATTTTTGCCCCAAGTTCCCAGCATCTGCTTCACAGATTAGTCTAAAAACATTGTCTGGAGTAATAGGGGCTACCTGGGAATATTATTGACCAAGACCCTCTAAAGAACCACTATGCAGGATGAAGTTTCCGCATTACTGCTTACAGCACTGAAGAGAATGCCCTAAATTCTGACCTCAGGGCATTAGTGTGGAGACTCAGATGGAAATGCAGTTCCCTGTAGCTTGGAAGCTGGAAACATGAACTTGAGGCCAGCGCTAGTGAGTGAGGTCTGCTGCGAGCCCAGCCTGGAATGCACCCATTAAGCACCATCCCCATTGGGTAATGCTGATGCACCCACTAAACACCGTCCCCACTGGGTAATGCTAGTCCCTACTGGGACTGGGGAGGTAGCAGAAGAGGCAACTCATCCCTTCTTTACTTTCCTACCTTCCCTTTATCGTTGAGGTTGTTGTGATTATTAGGGGGCACAAACACACAAACACACACACATAGATAAACACATTTTCTTTGGCAGTGGTGTTCACACACTAACTAATGTGGCAGGAAGTTGCTGGTGCCAGTGTTTCTAGCAACTGAGCTGCTGGGGCAGAGCCTCGTCATATGGTTGGTTGAGATTAAACTCCCAGCCTTACACTTTTGAGGCTGGTTCTCTGAGCCATAGAAGCATTCCCCACACCCTCACCACCGCTAATGAATATCCTCCAGTAAATGTCAGGGAAGCATCTTGGGAATATGCAGAAGTTGTAAAACATACAACACATGTTAGCCCTCCACTCAAGATTGAGAAATCAAGTTTATTGGCTTAAACATAATGTCCTTTTGCTTCATTAAAATTTTAAGTAAACAGTAAGGAAATTGAAACAGTAAACAAGTCTCCAACCTAAAAAATGGAAACCCAGGACAGACAGCTTCACTGGCATTGTCCAACTTTCAAAGAAGACCTAACCCTGTCCTCCTTTAACCCTGCCAAAAAACTGAGGCTGGGGTCGAGGGAGGGGGAACTAAGGCAGGGATCCTCCAAATCCAGGGACCAACCATTGATTTCTGGCCAACTAGACTGTTTCTTCAGTGCACGGACTTGAGGATATGGTGCTGTGTGGGCCTGTGGTACCAGAACTCCCAGGCTACCTCACTGGTGGTCAGGAGCCTCCAGGGATGTACCTGGTGAGACTCAGGGTTCTTGAACCCAAATTGGGTCCATGCATGCACCCTAGCCATTGTACTATCTCTTGGGGCCCTCTGCCAGAAACGTTCAAATGAAACATGATCAGAAGTCCTTCATTGATGGTTGCATTAGACATTGGGAACACAGAGATAGACTTACCTGCTGAGCTCTAAAATCTCCAAGGTCTCCACTTTGCATCTTCCCTGCTCCAGATACTCCAGACACACCCCAGTGCTGGGCTAGGGATCCTGTGATTCCTCTAAATGGGATTGTCTGCTCATAAATTTCTCCACCTCCAAAGCCTTTCCCCAACTGCACATTAAGTCCTGGATGCAGGAATGTCTTGGTTCAGCTGGAGGTGAAATGATACCTTAGGCCCAGGAAACATAGCGTTTGAGGTCACATGGACGAGAGAGGGACATGGAGGCCATGCCAGGGATGCCCAGAGAGACAGGGAAGTTCCCCTCTGCTGTCACAACTGGATATTTATTCAGAGGCATTGGGAGACCTTTCATTGCTTAGGGCAAGAACAGCCCTCACATGACCCTTACAAAGACTCCTTCAGCCCTAGGTCAGAGCAGGACTTAATGGGTCAGAATAGGGGTGAAAGGGATAAAAATAAAATACTAGCAAGGAGATTATTGAGAGCTATATGGAAAAGAATGAGACTTGAGCTATGGGAAAGGAAGGATCCATCAGGAACTAATTCAGATATACCTAGGAGCTGCCCTGTGCTGGCCTTGCCTGTGAGCGTGGCCCTGCCCTTAAGGAAATTAATCTAATTGGAAATCTAGACAAGGAACCACATACACTAAGCTGAGTGGAGAATTTTTACCCCATACATACCCAACAATAGGCTGTGTATGGGATAAAATGGAAACAACAAGAGAAGGAAGTGCTAAGAAACTAGTTGCTAACAAGATTCATAGGCCACGCTGAGGTCTGGAAAGACCTGGACTCTTGGGACTAGTGAGATAGCACAGTGGGTAGGGTGTTTGCCTTGCACGCAGTCAACCCAGATTCGATTCCCAGCATCCCATATGGTCCCTTGAGCACTGCCAGTAATAATTACTGAGTGCAGATCCAGGGGTAACCCCTGAGCATCACTGGGTGTGACCCAAAAAGCAGTAAAACAGGGTGGTGGAAGGGATGCTGGGAATATTGGTGGAGGAGAATGGGCACTAGTGGAGGGTGTGTAAACAATCATTGTAAGACTGTAATGCAAACACGAAAGTTCTTAAGTTTGTAATTGTACCTCATGATGATTCACTAATAAGAAATAAAAAAAAATTCTTAAAAAAAATCAAAACAAAAAACAACAACAAAAAAGACCTGGACTCTTTCCATGAGCTTTAATGTTTAGGAACTGAGGTGTCCAGGGAAGAGGCACCAGTGGAGTCTAGGGCTCTGGATTCACAGACCAGTGGAGAATAAGTCGTGTGTGAAAGAAGAGAATGGTCCTTGAAGAAGTTTGCCAGTGGAGGGGATGAGCGAGGAGATACTGGCTGGACCAGGAGGTGACTATGAACAATGGTTTGTTTCTTTAATCTATGCAGTACAGTTCTATGCAGTATGGTTGAGAAGGCACAGAAGCTTGTTCTGAACTCTCATCCCTTTTGGGGTCCTTCTGCTCCTCTGAGTGTCTTGGTTTCTCTGGTGTATATGTGGGGGAGGGTGTGTCTTGAGGTGCAGTGGAGGTGACAGTCCCATGACCCAAGGCCACCTTATTCTTATTTATGCTCTCACTTATTCTCTTGCTCTTTGATCAGACCACAATCTCCCTAAAAGCAGGTACTCCTGTTCTTCTCAGAGGATTAAACAAAGGGATCAGCAGATAGTATGTGCTCAATTATGATCAAAGGAGTGAGGAGCTACCTTGAGGGAACTGTTTGCCGAAGTGCCTGTCAATGATTAAGGGTTTTTTGAAGCTCTTTGGGTTCTCCATTCTTTAGAATGATCGACTCCAATGCTTTTCTCACCAGGCAGTGCTCCTCGTCTTGATCTTTGTCCTCAGGAAGAGAATTAAACTGGCAGTTGAACTTTTCCAAGTCACAAATAAAGCCATCAGCAGCTTGCCTCTCCTCCTCTTCCAGCCACTGTGGACATTTGCCCTCCTCATTTTCTTCTGGGTCCTCTGGCTGACTGTTTTGCTCTGCTTGGGCACTGCAGGTAAGGGAGAGGGGGATCGCGGGATGCTTCTCTTGGATCATGCACAGAACATGTGTTGGAGTAATTTCTTTTCATCAGGACCAAACCACCCTCTCAGTGGGAGTTTCCGATGCCAGTAGTCACAGTGGAGTTGGCAGCTGCTCTGACCTGAAGGTGGAGTGAGCAAGAGAAGCTTTTTCTCCCATATATAAAAGAGTTGTCTTTATTTCTTTCTTTTTTGTTTTGTTTTGCTTGGGAGCCACACCCAGCGATGCTCAGGGATTACTCCTGGGGATGACATGAGATGCAGGGATCAAATCTGGGTCAGCTGTGTGCAAAGCCATGTACCTTACTCACTGTGCTATTGCTCAGTCTGGGTCTGTATTTTATGAAAAAAAGATCAGTAACAACTGGAAGAGTTGGAGGGCAAAGTAAAATCCAAACAAAAGGCAATAGAGGGAATATTATCAGTTGCTCTGGTTGAAATGTTAGGCAAGGTGCTAATCTCAATCCGTTCATTAGGAAGAACCCCAGAAGGTGCTCCCAGGGTTGGCTTAGTTGACAGCAAGTGCTCTAGAAGTTCACCACACCTTGTCCTGAGAAAACAGTACCTTGTCCTGTGTCTCCTGTTTGAGCAGCCTCTCCTCCAAAACTGTCCTCTGAGTCACCTGGTCAGCCCTGGGGTTCTTTTGTAATACAGATGGGTGGACTCCTTCCTCAGAGGTTGCATTTGGCTTGGAGTAGAATTGTGTGTTTTTGGAAGTCCTCAAACAGAGCGGCAGCATTCCAGAGCAGGGCTGCTCAAAGCATTCCCAAAAGTAGATAAGGTGCTTAGATCAGAACAGACATTGCTTCCTTGCCCAAGAAAGTCCTGCAGGGAGGAAAGGTCGGCAGAATGAAAGAAAGGCTGCCTCATTCCTGTCGGAGCTCCTGATCTCGCTGTATGATCTTCCCTCCCACACTGTGGGCAAGCAAGCATCTGGCAAGTCTGTACACATTTGTTCTAGATCGCTGACTTTTCACCTGCAGTGGTCAAGGCTGGGATACTGTGTTGCTCTCATCAGGCAGAGGGGAACCACAGCAGACATCTGGTCAACCAGAGAATACAGTTCCTTCCTGTGAATGCATTCCTCAGGCTTCCTCTTGGGCCAGTCCCACATGGAAGAGCCACCACACCATGTAGTTTCTTCCTAAACAGATTCTCCTCCTCCTCCTCTGGAGTAGAACAATCTCTTAAAGATTACTTGGGGATGGTCAGCAGGCTCCCAGAAAGTCTCAGCCCCGAAAGTCCATATTTTCCATTTCCTAGAGGCTGTGGATCCCTTTTGGGGGTTGGGTCAGTGGGAGGAGGGGGAGTGGTGTCGGACAGACAGGCTGTGAGCTTGCAGAAAGCCTGTGATGAACCTCAGTCATGATCCAGGAGAGAATCTTGGTCCATCAGGTTTAGGACAGTAATCATTCAGAAAGAAAGAGGTTTACCTGAGAGTATCAGGAAGCCTGAAACATCATAGTTCATACAAGATCAAAGAACATTTTCTTCTCCTATGATGTCTTCAAGAAGGAACCTGCCCTTCCGGCCAGCACAATCCCCCTGGCTTCCAGGAATTGGGTGACCCAGCTTTTAATCTCAGCATCTTGTCGCTCACGTGGCCCTCAGGTTCCACTCTCTGCGTCATTCCACAGTCAGGAGTGCAGGGAGAAGATCATGCTACCTCCCAGAAGCCAGGACAGCTCTTGTGCTTACTGCCCACCTCACCTCTAAGTTCCAGGGCAATGTCTGTGGGAGGGACAGGAAATGCCCTTCACTTGGGACAGCCATGAACAGTTTAAACACTGGAGGTGGAGGTTCTATTGCCCATTGTGGAAGAGTCCAGTGTCCCACTGGGAGCAATACAAAGCCTTTCTCTTTTAGCTTGAAGCAGTCTCAGTTCCACTCACAAAGTAGCCTTGCAGTATAAAATAAAGCCAGCGTATGCCAAAAATGCCCTAATTTCTAAACCCTGGCATTCATTCTCTCCTCGGTGCATCACAGTCCCCTTTGGATGGTGTGTTGAGAGGTGGGCATTTGAGGCATGAACATGAAGCTCTGTGTGAGTGAGTTGCCAAGGTGACAGGCTAGGAAGTAAGGGGCTCTCTTGAATCGGCTCTGAGAAACTGCCTGTTTGGACAACCACTAGCATCACTGTGGTTGTTTGTATACTCTAAAGCTCACCTTTAGTGTCCAGATACATAACCAGCATTGCCATGGATTTCCTTCAGGTTCTTTTGGCCATTCTTAGGTCGCTCCTAGAAAACAGTCTCAGATGCTTATGATAGGATATGTTACTTGTGGTAGGTTCATTCCCTCAGTCATTCAACAGGTATAGACAAAACATTGACTATAACTGACCCTATTGTGGCTTCCATTCCAGTTTAGAAGCTAAACTAAATAAACATAAAAAAAACTTAATGAATTTTGTAGTACATTAAGAGTTGGTACATGCTCTAGAGGAAACTAAAGAAGGGAAGAGGAATATGGAATGTTTAAGGGGAGATGCAATTTTAAATTAGGGCATCAGGGAGGGTCTCATTGAAAAGGTGATAATGTAAGCAAAGATTTGAAGAAAGTGAGGAATGTAGAAGAGAAAATGATTTGGAAAAGGGAATCTTGAAGAACAGCAAGGAGGCCTTTTGGCCCTCATGATGTGGTTACAGGGAGGAGGCTCCGGAGGGATCAGAGAGTTCAGAGGGTGGGATCCTGGGTCTCACGGGCATTTAGAACACTTTCTTTGGTTCTGATCAGAGATGAAAACTCATTACTGAGTTGTTAGCAGAATGGCAACATGATCTGACTTACTATTTAATTGCGGTGATCTTGGTGACTCAGACCAAATGTTGGCAGTGATGTGAACATGAGAATTTATTTATTTTGGGCTTTTGTTTATTTGAGACCACACCTAAGAGTGCTCGGGGAGCTAATCCCAGGAGTGCTCATGGAACCATACAAGTGCAGGGAATCAATCCCGGGCTTCCTGTATGTAAAGCTGTTCTCAGCCCTTTGAACCAACTCTCCAGGTTCCATTTATTTTTGAAGGATTTCCTGATTTATCAATTGAGATGTCTTATTGGAGAGGAGTTGGAGTTGACAGGTTTGAGGGCTTGGTGACTTGGAAAATAAGATAGAGCAAATTTGGTGCATTCTCTGGGGAAGATAAGAAATTCGCCTTTGTTGTCCTAATTAAAGTGTTTTTCAGCAATGGTAGTTGGAAATGATCACCCTGGACAAGAACTGAGTGTTGAAAGTAAAAAAAAGAGATATTGACATTTCCTGATATGCAAAGTGATCAATGGAAAGTAAATGATCTAGTGTTTGTCCCTGAAAAACAGGCTTGAATGATGGTGGGGAAATCTGAGCACAATAGAATGCCCAACCAAAATGCATCTGGACTGTGCATTTAACTATGGTGCTATGCTGCCCTGGGAGAGGAAGGGTGTCTGTCCCTCCGCCTGTCCCCCCTTGTGGCGGCAGCACAGTGGCCTGCAACTTTTAGAGCCTAATGAACAGCCAGGTATGAGACTGCATTGACAAGGCACTAGGGGCCTCGTGGGATCGGAGGTGGAATTGGCTCTGCTCCTGGCCATGACAATGCTCCGGGTTGCCACCCTCAAACTCCTCCTCCGGCATCTGAACGACCATGATCCCAGAGGCACACAAATCAATCTCGGAATCCAGGGGCTTTGGGCAGTAATCCCTCTAGATTTATTACTAAAATATCAGAAATCCAAATTCGCATGGCTGCTATTGTGGCCACACGACATCATATGCTCTTCATAATCAGCAATAGAAAACAAATTTTCTAATGATGTCTTTTTGGCAGGTCTGAATATTGGGGAAAATTCCAAATAATAATGTTGGGTCTTTTGTCATAATATTGAATGTGATCAATGTAGAGAGAGAGAGTAAAGTGGAAATCTGCCACACAGGCAGAGGGTGGGTGGGAGGGGGTGTATACTGGGGTTCTTGGTGGTGGAAAATGTGCACTGGTGAAGGGACGGGTGTTTGATCATTGTATGATCGACCGAGACTCGAACTGAAAGGCTTTGTGACTGTTCTCACAGTGATTGAATAAATAAATAAATAAATAAATAAAAAGAAAAGGGATATATATGATAATCTTTAAGCACCTGTATTTCAAACCATAATCCCCAAATGGAGAGAGAGAGAAAGAGAGAGAGAATGTTTGCTATCGAGGTAGGTGGTGGGAAATGTACACTGGTGAGTGGATGGGTCTATGACAGAAACCAAATCACGAACAACTTTGTAACTGTGTGTCTCACAGTGATTTAATTTTTTTAAAAAAGTATTTCAGGCAGATGGAAATGTCAGGTGGGCAGTTAGGTGTTAGAAGGTCCCAACTAGAGATGTACATTTGAAAATGAGGGAGCATAAAAATAGGTAAGAATGACTAGAGAGAGAGAAGAGAAATCCACACAGTGCTTGTGGGTTTGGTGTGGCGGGGGGGAGGTTCGAGGTGGGGCTACTTCAGTGTTCAGAGATCCTGGAGATGAGAAAGACTAAGGGGTAAAACAAGCAGGAAGCCAGAGGAGAAAACAGCGCTATGTTAAGGAGAGGGAATTATCTGGGGCAGCAAATGCTGCTGATAAGCACTAACTGTGATTTGATCATGTCGGTCACAGCACAGAAGGGAAACAAGCCAGTTTCTGGAAAGCATAAGGAGTGAGTTGTGATTGGTCAGAGTTAAGAGAAAGTGGGAGACAGCCAAGTGTGTGAAACACCCCCACTCAGAACTTATAACAAGGGAAGGGTAAAATAGAAAGCAAAGAGTTTAAAAAAAAATAATAATGTAGGAGAAATAAATGAAAAAGAGTAGCTGAAGACAATCTTGGGGAATTGTCTATTTTTTGTACTTGAGAGACATTCACATTACTGTCTGAGCCAAATCCCTGACCCAGTTTCGAAGAATTTGGCCATAGATATGCAATAGGAAAATGGAAAGGAAGTTGAAGGAAAAAAGAGAGAAAAAAGACACATTTTCTGGGGGGAGATGAGAAATTTACTTTTGTTGTGCTAATTAAAATATTGTTCAGTGATGATAATTGGAAATAATCACTCTGGACAAGAATTGAGTGCTGAAAGTAGGTAAAGGCATATACGTGATAACCTTTCAGTCCCTGTATATTGCAAGCCATAATGCAATATTTTTTATTTTCATACTTTTTTAAAGATATGAGATGGGGGGCTGGGGATGCGATGGTGGTGTATCCTTCCAGGTTTCTCTTCCAGAACCGAAAAAATAAAACCAAAAAGTGAGATGGTAAAGAATGATCCAGTGAGATGAACACTTTGATGGTGCAAGCAAGAGAGGATGGATTGGTAGAGAGTCTTGTAGAGAGTGAGAACAAGGACTAGTGGAAGCTTAGCTTTAGAGTCATGCTTGCCATACCCAAAGTGGTCGGTTATGATCACGTACTGAGATTTGATAGATGTGAGGCTGGGGTGAAGGGAAGGGTAATCTACCAGGGATTTTTAGAGTTTTTTAATTTTCTTAGAGAAATTAAAAGAATAGTCCTTGACTGAGAGTGAGGATGGGGAAGTCATCTCACAGAGATTGGAGGTAGAATTAGAAACAGCCCCAAAGAAAGGGAAATGAAGAGACATACAGCAACATGTGAGTTCCTGCTAGACATTCAGATGATAACTTTTTGTTTTGTTTTGTTTTTTGTGGGTCGCACCCAGCGATGCACAGAGGTTACTCCTGGCTCTGCACTTAGGAATTACTCCTGGTGGTGTTCAGGGGATCATATGGGATGCTGGGGATCGAACCCGAGTTATTCTCGTGCAAGGCAAATGCCATACCCGCTGTGCTATCTCTCCAGCCCCACAGATGATAACTTTTTTGTATGTATATTTGTTTCTCTTTCAATTTGTTTTGTCCCCAGCAGCAAATGTTCACATAATTTCAATGTGCAGTGGTAAATATTGGTTAATCTCAGAACTGGAATGCTACCTACCTATATCTCAGGGATAAGTGTTTTAAGTTACTAGTCCTAAAACCTTACCTAACACCATGCCATCCATGCCTGGAGAATGGGTGAGAAGTCACTAAGGAATTAAAGGTAGATACTGGGAAGGTAGTATATTCAGCTACCAGTGATGCAACAAGCTTTTAAAGATCTCCTACTCCCCCAGAGTTTGTCCAGCTCTTATGGTATAGTACATACATGTGATCTCAGCCTGTGTGTTTCTCCAGCCCAAAATTGTAACTACTGTACACGGGTTTTTCTTGTCTGCCCTCTTAATCTTTGAGAACCAAGAACGAGATTGCTTGAAACATACCCAAGCTGAGACTAGACCCAAGAATCTGTTCAGTGCTCTTTCCACGACCATTCCCGAGATGCCCTTTGATTGGACTCTGCCTGCAGTCCAGTTATTATGAGCAGGAGTTACACACAGTAGGAGCTAATTGTCACCCTTCTCATAAATAGCATTTGGTTCTTTGGGGCGGTGAGGGGCTATTGCCTGCACTGGCACATCCAACCAGCAGAGGGCAGTCGTGTGTGCACAAGGAAGCTTGCCCCACCCACCCGCAGCTTGTAGCTGAGTTTCAGAATTTTTGCCCTGGAGCCGGAGTCTGACTGATTCTTCCCAGAACCTTTAAAGCAATGATTCTTTAAACGTTAAATGCTAAAGCACTGATATTGTTCCCCCGGGCGGCTCTGGGCAATGTCATACATGAAGGAGGGGAGGGAGATCGCTCCTGGGATCTGGTGGAGACTGTTGCAAACATCCTCAGTCCTCTGCCCGACTCCAGCCAAGCAAGAATGGTTGGGTCGGAAACCCCAGTTTTGTGTTGAGAGTTGAGACGTCTTTCCTTGTAGGAAAGTCATTCCACAGCTTGTTTAACAAAAACAAAGGGGTAAACAAAAAATGGCTTCAAAACAGATATTTAAAAATAAGTGACCTGGGCCAGAGAGATAGTAAAGAGAGCAGGGCACTCATTTTGCATGCGGCTCACCCAGGTTCACTTCCTGACACCCTGGATGAATCTGTGGGCTCTCCAGGTGAATTCCCTGAGTGGGGAGACAGGGTAAGCCCTGTGCATGGTCAGGTGTGGCCAAACTGTCCCTCCCCTTCCCTGAAGTAACTATGGGAAACCCCCGTTTTATCTCTGGCACTGCTGGCCCCTGGGCACTGCTGGAACAACTTCCAAGCACTGGGCAGAGAGTGGCCTTGAGCACCATAGAGTGTACACACCCCCAATCAGAATAGTAAGCAGCCCAGAGTGATTTATGGGTTCTGCTTTCTCAGGGGAGACACCGAGTTCAAAAGGCTCCTGCTGTCGTTGTGCTGAGCTGGACAGGGTTGCTGGTGACCTTGAAGGACACACAGGGCAGCCAAGAAGATGAACTTCCCCTGCCTCACATTTCGGTCCTTTCTACTCACCTTTCCCCTGGCCAGGTAGTCACCCGGCCTGTTCCACAGAAAACTCCACCCACAGCCCAGCTCTTGGAAAACTGCCATTTGTCCCTGGGATGTGGGGTCTGGCAGGAGGAGCAGGCACCTCTTCATGGACCTGTTCCTACTTCAGTCCTGGGAAATGGTACTCAAGAATCCACTGGCCGCCCCCAGAGCATCTGTGCTGCGTGTCAGAACACTCCTCCTCTGGAACTGGGAATCGTTTGCTGAAACACACCTGCTTTGGCAGAAAACATAAGCATTTTTCAGTGCTTTACCTGAGACAAAGGTTGCATCCAAGCCAGAATGAGCCCAGTGTTTGACAAAATATTAACTCCCCTCTGTAAACCAAGTGGGTTCCCTGGTGCTCACAATGTGACTCTTGTTCCAGAGAACAGAGAGTGTAAGGAGCTGAGGCCAGCCCAGTGTGGAGGATCAGATTGCTGGGCAGCAGTTGCCTCCCCACTTCCTTTGCACAGACCCTATTGTGAATATCCAAAGAGGCATCAATTATGAACATAAATAGATTTATAGTTGGGAAAGGAAATAGGAAGCTGTCTTTTACATTTTGTTCAAGTCGTAAGACTCACCAAAGACCAAAGTACCCATCATTTTATGTCGAGTAGTTTATTTTAAACATGGAGATGAGGGAGGTATCTCAAAACAAATGCAACTGGGATTTGAACTTACCCACTCCCCCGTAAATGGACTTGGATTGTAGTAAAGCGGGGTATGACCTCACAAAAAGCATAATATTGTTTTGGCCGCCTTAACTCAACTGAACGTACAGGTGCTTCTGAAAGGTAATAATAATTATTATGCAGTGATATGTCTATAGGACAAGCCATAAGGTTATATATGTATATGTGTGTGTGCATTAATATATTAATGTAAAGGTAAAAAAAATGATAAAGGCCCTCCCATTGATCGTCGATTTGCTCAAGCGGGCCCAGTAACGTCTCCATTGGAGACTTTGTTGTTACTGTGTCTGGCATATCGAATACTCTCTTGCCGGGCTCTCCGAGAGGGGCGGAGGAATCGAACTCGGGTCGGCCATGTTGGCCGCGTTAAGGCGAACGCCCTTACCCGCTGTGCTATCGTAAGGAACTTAATATCTCTATGTAAATAATTACCAGCTAATCTCACTCCACATTCATTTCCAAAAGGAAATGAGTATAACAGGAAAGGAAGTTAAAGCTCCAAGAGACTGGGGCTGGTGTGGAACTCAGTAGAGCACTTACCTCTCAAGTATGAGAGACCTTGGTAAGATCCCCAGCACTATATATAATGCTGGGGATTAACAATAAAGAAAAATCCAAGAGATTGAATAGTTAGTTGCAGCCTTTCCTGGAAATGGTAAAGATTTTTCCTGAGGTCCATAGATGTCTTAGAAGGGGGCAATATGGGAATGGGACCCAGAGCCTCACACATGCAAGGCAGGTGCTCGGTCGCTGAGCCACCTCCCTAGAGACATTGTAAAGATGCAAGAAGAGGTGCTGGGGTGATAGCACAGTGGGCAGGGCATTGGCTTTGCACACAACCAACCTGCGTTTGATCCCTGGCATTCCATATGGTCCCCCAAGCACAGCCAGGAGTGCATGAGCATCCTCAGGTATGACTCTAAAACAAAACAAAAAAAAACAGCAATAAATAAAACCTGGATTTCTGGTGAGGTAGAGGACTATAAAATAGTTCTAAAGACTTTGTGCATTAACAGTTCACTTGTCAAGGCAAATATTCACCCTCAAGTTACCAGGAGCAGTGAGATGTCACAAAAGTTCCTTAACTCTTCCAAACCTTAGTCTTCAATTCTACAGAAAGTGATAAATATTTGAACCAAATTGCTTACTCATCAGTTCTGAAATGATCAATTTTTTTACCTTATTTGTATACTGGGCTGGAGTGATAGCACAGCGGTAGGTCGTTTGCCTTGCATACAGCCAACATGGCCGACCCGAGTTCGATTCCTCCGCCCCTCTCAGAGAGCCCGGCAAGCTACCAAGAGTATCTCGCCCGCAGGGCAAAGCCTGGCAAGCTCCCTGTGACGTATTTGATATGCCAAACACAATAACAAGAAGTCTCATGATGGAGACCTTACTGGGCCTGCTCAAGCAAATCGATGAACAACGGGAGGACCGTGGACCGTGGATTTGTATACTAACCGTGTGCAGGCAGGCTTGTGTTGCTGCTATGAAGATCTGAAGCCATAGAAGCACTTCCAGGCGCATCAGCCTCTCACTCCAGGCCCTGCGGCACAGCTGTGGTGCCATTCTCCTTGCTGGCAAGACTCTGCAATAAAGCATCTTTGTGGTTTTCCACTTTAGGAGCTGCCCAGGTTATCGAAGGCGGTCAAGTGGATTATCAGCCTCTCTCAGGCATCCGCTATATGTGGTGGTACCACCTGCTCGGTCTCATCTGGACCAGTGAGTTCATCCTGGCGGGCCAGCAATTCACTGTCGCTGGGGCAGTGGCCACTTGTTACTTCAACAGGTGGGTCAAGCGTGTTACTCCTTTGGGTTCCTACAGGCTTCATGTTCTGAATCTCAGAAGATATTTTGGAGTTCCCAAAGCCTAAGAGATAGGTAGTCCAATGGGCAAGGCCCTTGCTTGCCTTTGGCTGATGCTATCTCATCCCTGCAGCACATATGGCCCTTGAGCTTGCCAGAAATGATCCCTGAGCACAGAGCCAAGAGTAAGCCTCCAGAACAACCTTATGGAAAGGGGTATGTTGGAATTTTGATGTGACCTCTTAAAAGGAGTTGGCAAGAGTAAAAGACTAAGTTAAACATTGAGCAGGATGCTCATTCAGAGGGGAAAACAAACATCTTCTAGGTGCAGTCTGTCACAGTTCCAACTCTTTTTCTTTGAGTTAGAAAATTCAGAAAGAAACCAAATGGGGAAGTTAATCATATTGCTTAGAATTGAAAGGTATCTGAAAGGAAGGATTGGCTTCTATAAATACTCATTCTTACTGAGCACACACTAAAGAATTGTTGTTCTGCTTGAAACACACTTCAACAAGTTCTGTGAACCTCACCCCTCAATCTTATATGAAATGATAAAAATGTTTGCCTAGAAAATAATTATAGGGGCCAGAGAGATAGTATAGGGTTTGAAGCACTTGCCTTGCATGTAACCAACCTTGGCTTGACCCTCAGCACCACATATGAGCCCCTGAAAACCACTGAATGTGGTTAAAAGAAAAGAATTATAAACCTTAAGGGAATTATATATAACTATAAAATAAGAGTATTCTTACAGTTACATACTAGTGAGTTAATTACTTGCTTCTGTGTTCATCATGATACTTAAGTGTTTACACCCCATTACCTCATCAGAATAATTGAGGGTGGACACACACACACATACACACACACACACACACATGCTCACACACACACACACACATGTTTACTTCTTTTGTATGTGTATGTGCTTCTCCTCGGGGCAATGATTAAACCACAGGCAAGAAGAGCTATCTCAGGAAAATGACAGGGTTAGACTCCAACCTGGAAGTTTGCTCTGAATACCGCTGGTCTTTCTCTAATCTCTCAGACCAAATGAGTAGATAAAAAGGAGTGTCTGTGGGGTAAGAAAGTCAACCAGAGATGATTCATACCAAGGAGCAGTTTCCTCCTGATGATAAAGAGCACTGTGGGTTTTAATAGGGTAGTGCTGTTGGGCACCCCCATCATTAGGGACTAAAGGCTGCACACGGGCTGTAATCTCTGGCGCTGGGACCCCCCCCCCCACCGAACACCTACAGAGGCAGGCGGGGTGTGCTGCTTTATCTTGGTGGGGGTGGGGGAGTGGCAGGGTGCAGTCAGGCAATTTGTGTTATCTTGGGCTCACATACCAACCCACTTGGTTTGTGAGCTTTTAGGTTTGGGCTACCCTACTGAAGCAGATGTGTCTCCTTTCTTCTGCACCCCTCGTTGATCCCCATCTCAAATCATAAAGGAATGAAAAAGAATGATCTGGCGACAGTATAAAACAGAGGCAGTGAAACATCAGCCAAATATTGGAAACTGAAGAGAGGATGTTTAGAGAGTGACTCTAAGCAGGCTGGGCTGGGGGGAGTAAGAGAAAAACCTGTCTGTGTGAGTCAGCTGAGAGAGGAGATAAAAAAAAATATGACACAAACTGGAGTTACAACAACCTGGGGAGGTCCAGGATATGATAAGCACTTCTGAAGATTATAAAATTTTTCCTGAGGGGCAGCTGAACACCCAGTCCCCTGCGGCCATATACAGCAGGAGGCAGGAGCTTGCACTCTGGATGGGTCAACCAGGGAGGGTATGAACTCAGAGTACCTGGGGCAGCTAAAACTGGGGATCAGATTCTGTGCACAAAGAAGGTGTAGTCGGGAATAAGCAGGAGCCTAAATACTGAAATGTGGGGACCCACCTCATGCATTACCACCAAGCCACACACAAGGCTCAGTTCCCTAGATGTTGACACCAAGGGTAATGTCACTTTCCCTGGAGACTGGGCATTCTTCTAGATAAACCGTCTAAGTAAAGACCTACAGGGGCTGGAGTGATAGTACAGTGGCTGAGTAGCATGTTTGCCTCACACGCAGGGGACCTAGGTTTTTTCCCCACCATCCCATATGGTCCCCCTGAGTCTGCCAGGAATGATCCCTAAGTACAGAGCAAGGAGTAAGCCCTTAGCACCTCCGGGTGTGGCCCCCAAACAAACAAGAGGCCAACACAGAGTGTCATACAGGGGTCTAATGAAATGGAGTGATTTCTAGATGCTGACCCAAGCAAAAAAGCAATGTCCTTTTTCAGAGCTTCCAATGAACTTCTTAGAGCTTCATGTTTAAATATGGCTGGGAACCTAGAGATTGTTAAATATCTCTAATGACAAAAATAAAGTAAAATGAACAAAAACAAGCAAAGGGATTTAAGGAGAACAAAATAAGCGCAGGTAGCAAAAGAAAACTTAAAAAAAAAAAACACCTGCAATGTCCTCAGAGAGGACAAAGGTATTCATAAAATATGAATGCGAAAAGAGGAATACATCTTGAGAGTTCAAATTAGAAAATTAAAAAAAAAACCCTCAGAAAGTAGAGCAAGAAAAAAAAAAGTTGAGAGGCTGGGAAGACAGCTCAGCAGTAACGTTCTTGCCTTGCATGTGTGAAGTCATAGGTTTGATCCTTGGCACTGCAAAAACAAACAGTAAATAAAAACCTCCTGAGCTTAAAATAAAAAGGAAGAAAGAAAGTAGAGCAAAGACACTAAGAGGCAGAAAAGAGAAGATTAAAAGTCAGGATAAATTTAAGAGACCCAATATCTTACAAGTTTCAAAAATAGAGAATGTGGGAAGAGAGAGATTTACCAGAGCAGCAGAGCAGGAGTACATGGACTTAGAAAAAAAAACTCAGAAGCTTTTAGTAGGGAAAATACATCAGGAGCAGAGAACCAAACACTAGTGTGGTTTCTGATCCAAATCCCAGTAGCAGCATTGAACCAAGAAGACAGCATAGCAAAGCTGTCCAAATTCTCAGGAACCATCATTTCAAACCTCAAATTCTCTGCCTTGTAATACGTACTATCATTCAAAGGTAAAAGACAATAAAGTCATGCTCTAGCATGCAATATTCCAAAAGATTTCCCTCCCCACATCCTTTCTTACATGAAATGAATGAGTAAACTTGGGAGAAAACTATGAGTTTCAGGAAGTGGATTTCTACACAGAAGAGAAGGGAAGGGAATTTCCAGAATGGTAGCTGAGCAGCAGTGGAGAGAGTGTTTGTCTATGGTGAATCAGAAAGGCAGATGTGGACTTGTATAGAAAAGATTTATAGATTTATACTTTTGTGGACATTTGGTGAAATGTCCCTTGGAAATCAAATATAAGTATGACATAGTTATAAACTTAACTAAAATCCAAAAGCCATATAGGAGAAAAAATATAAGAACTGTTGGCTCTCCCATGAATATTATTTATGTACTGATAGTATAAACACTCATCATTGACTCAAACATACTCAGAGGTGAAAAGTTGAAAACTTTCTCTCTAGTATTAGGAGCAGAACAAGAGTGCTCACTCTAACCACTTGTATCTAATGCAGGACTAGAAGTTCTAGCCAATTAAATCAAGCAAGAAAAAAAAGTTAACCAAATCAAAAGGGGGAAATGGTCTTTGTTTGTGGATACCAAGTCTGGTGGTATATACAGAAAAACCTAAAGACTCTGGAAAAAATCTGTTAGAAATAATCAATGCATTCAGTCACTGTCACTCTGTCACTGTCCTCCCATTGTTCATCGATTTGCTCGAGCGGACCCAGTAACGTCTCCATTGGAGACTTTGTTGTTACTGTGTTTGGCATATCGAATACATCACGGGTAGCTTGCCAGGATCTGCCATGTGGGCGAGATACTCTCGGTAGCTTGCCAGTCTCTCCAAGAGGGGCAGAGGAATGGAACTCGGGTCGGCCATGCTGGCTGCGTGCAAGGCAGATGCCTTACCGCTGTGCTATCACTCCAGCCCTAATATTTAATATATTATCTATATAAATAATATAATAATAAATAATTATTAGTAAAATAATAAATTATTATTAAAATAATATAAAAATAATAAATAATTTAATATTTATACTATTTCAGTATTCATATGCTATTATTAATATTATAATTACTAATGGTATTATCAATATATTGTGTATTAGAATAGTATTACCTCAATCACATATTTAATATAATAATATATTATATACTATAATAACAATCAAGTATATAATAATGTATTATATACTAGAAAGTTGCTAAGACAGTAGATCTTAAATGTTCTCACCGTACACACACACACACACACAAACACACACACATGCACGCGCACACAAAAAAGAAGTGGTGATCATGTGGCATGGCAGAAGTCTTAGCTGATGTAATGTGGTGAGCATTTAGCAAGTGTATAGCTGTAGTAAATCGACATGGAAACACACACAATGGATTTATGTCAATGGATTCTCAATGATATATTTTTTAAATGAGTTAAAACTTCAAGGGCTGGAGAACTAGTACAGTGTGTTGGGGGTTTGCTTTGCACATGGCCAACAAAGTTTGATCCTTAACACCCCATACCAGAGCCCCACCAGGAATGATCTCTGAGCACAAAACCACGAGTAAACCTTAAGCACTGCTGGGTGTGGCCCCAGGGCCAAAATAAGGGGAAAAAACACTTCAATCTTGTTATATTGAGAAGGGAAGAAGAAAACTGAGAATGTTAGAAATTTAGCTTGTAAGAGACTAAACCTGTATTGTCTACACTGGAAAACCAGTGGACAATAGTTAGGGCCATAAAAATCAAGAAATAGCAGGAACAATATAGTTAAAGCCATCTACCACAAGCTTACAGCAAGCATCATCCTCAATGGGAAAAAACTGAGAGCCTTTCCCCTAAGATCAGGGATGATACAAAGATGCTCACTCTCTCCACTGCTGTTCAATATAGTACTGGAAGTACTTGCAATAGCGATT